ATATTTTTAGAGCTTAGATTTTAGTTGGTGGCCAGAAATTCCTTGTATTTTACAAGTGGTTGTAAACACTTAGGAGAACAGTTGTTCGGATCCTAAAGTGTGGTTAGATAGATAGAGTACCTTTTGATCCCCACTGGATCATTTGAGAAAAGTCTAAGGACTGAATAACTTTGAGTGGTGTTATACTCATCGTGAAAAACCTTCAATCTAGGCCTGAGTGTTGTAAAGGCTAGATTAGCACTAAGTGTATTGGGCTTAATACTTTAATGAAAATCCATCTGAAATAGGGTGGGACTGGATGTAGGAGGATTACACCACCTCTGAACCAGGATATATCGTGTGTTGATTTTCTTTCAAATTAACAAAACACACACCAAACACTTCTCACAAAAGGATTGTAGTTTGCCAGCAGCATCCTAAGCAGTAGTCTTAACTGACCATACTGCTTATCCTACTGCTTAATTACTCACTCTCCTTGAGACAGTCTTTCCACGAGAATCTCTCAAAGTTTAGAAGGTGTCTCAGCAGTACTCTGGTCTTCACCCACCTGCTGAGCCCACTGCTCATACATATTTACTTCCCTTGAACGTTACAATAGCCAAAACAAAAAGCCTGTTGAAAATATTCCATAAGTCATCCTGTTTATCAGAAGTTGCCTTAGCAGTCTTCTGTCTTCCAACCAACTGCCAACCCAGCAGTTGTCTCAGCAGTAACCTGCCCACCAGCCAACTGCCAAGCCTACTGCCTATCCATAAACAGTCCTAACATCACTCAAACTAGAAAGTTGTCTCATACTGATAAACAAGAGGTTAAAGACTTCCGCTGTGCATCTATTAATCTCCCAAAAGATTATAGATCAACTCATCTAGAAGGGAAGAGTTCTTAAAACCGAAAAAGATTTAAAAGTCTATTCACCCCCGTCTAGACTTTTACCTCTATCCGGGACCAACACTTTATGATTCACCCGTTTCTTGGCACACAAAAAAGCATCCTACAGTGTCACACTCATCTGAAGCTTAAAACCGTTCTCGAGCCACACTCACCTGCGAATTTGTTTGTCTCAAGAATTTGCTGCTCTCGCTCGGGGTCAAGCATTCAGGGTCTATTTGTTTAATTTGTATTAACCAGGCAGCCCTCCATATATATTGCATTAAATCTATTTTTTCATGATCATACTAAGCATATTGAAATTGATTTTCATTTTCTCCAGGACTATATTCAATCAAGTATAATTTCTCCATGTCACAAGTCTTCCGGTGAACAACTTGTGGACCTCTTAACTAAAGCCATTGGTGCAACCCGTTTTTCTTATCACTTATCCAAGATGGGTGTTCAGGATCCTCACACTCCATCTTAAGGAGGGAATTGAAGGGTGGTGCCAGTGCAACCATACCCATCAATTTTGTATAACAATATTATCACTTAGATGTATATGTAAAGTAGTGATCTATAATTATATATAGGAATATTCCAGACATACAGTCGGACAATCTAATATTGTAAGTACTCACACATAAAAGGCGAAGCATGTACAAATCAACACACAGACGGGAATAATAATACCTTTCTTTTAATATTTACTACTGTCGTCCCATTTTATATGTCCTACTTTGATTTGACACAATTATTAATAAATTAAAGTAGTTGAAAAAATACAAAGTGGTTTAGATATGAATATAATAAAGTGAATTAGGGTAGATCACTTGATCACATATTTCTTTCTAAAAAATAAATTGTGACACTTATTTCGGGACAACCCAATAGGTAAAGTAGGACATGCAAAATGGGACATGGGGGGTATCATTCTTTACTTTCGTTTGCTCATACTGAATTGACTAAAGTTACTATAGAAGACCAATTTAGCTATTTTTCATGCAATTTTTAAATATTATTTTTTATATTTCAAGTTTCAACAAATTATTTTTTATATTTCAAGAAATTTAGCCAATTCACCTAGAATATCTTCAATTTCAGCCGATTTTGACGATTCAACAAATGTCATTCTTACCAAATGTGTCTAAATGTCACAAATGTTCTGACATTTGCATTTAGTTTTACCTGATTTGACAAAAAGTAAGGAATAATTAAAAATATAAATCAAAGCTTTAATTTATACTACATCCGTTCTTCTAAGATTTTCATATGAGAGAGATGCAATTATTAATAAAAATAGAGTCTTGTTTCTTTTGTTTTTAATAAAGATATTGTCCTAAATGAGACTAAAACATTAGCAAAACTCAAAAATAGGAGTATAAGTTTATTATTCTCTAAATAGGACTCCACATTAGATTTTTGCCCTCCCCTTCATTAAACCCAAAATCAACGCCTCAGACTTTAGATCTTTGCTACTGCATCTTCCGATTTGGGAGCTGCGATCTCCTTCTTCCCCATCACAGACGGACTGCTACCCAACCACACATGACTAGTTGACGGCATATGCAATTTCTGGCGATAGCTATTCAATTTCTCCGACGAAATCACACTTCGCATCTGTAATTCCTGCGATGAAGTCAGGTAACACTCCTTCCCTTTTCTTTCTCTTCCTCCTCTTCCTTATTCTTCTTCTCTTCTTTCTTGTTCTTCTTCTATTTTCTTTTTGGGCACTTTTCATCTTGACGTGCTCACGCCCCCTCTGTTTTTTATTCTCTTAATTTGATTTTCAATTTTATATTAATTATGATTAATTTATTTTAAAACATTCAAATTATTTAATTATGGTTTTTATGTTGATTTGAAAAATGTCACTTTTCTGACCTGAGAATGTCAAAATTATTGGTTATTTGAAAAAATTGGCATGTTTGTGGCAGTATTTTTTATCAGGATGACAATCTGAAACTGTCATACATCCATAGGAAAATGTCATTCTTATGACATTTTATGGCATTTTAATGCTTATCTGAGAATGACATAACTATTTGTTATTAGAAATGACAAGTTTTTTTTACATGTTTTCCAAATGATGTCAGTATTTGTCATCTAAAAAATTACATAATTTCTTTTCTAAAATTTTATACTTTAACACTTGAGAATATCATATTTTTTTATAGCAAAATGTAATTTTTATGTCATTACTCTTATGAAGATGACATTCTCTCTCAAGACTTACAATGACTTCTTGGAGGGATGCGGCTTCACCAGAGGATGGTGGCAGCTTCATCCGAGGATGGCAGCAATGAACTCAGCTTAGGGTGGCAGATGTGCACAACAGACTTGCTGGAGGATGGTTACGATTTGCCGATGAAGTTACAGCAGATTTGATTATTTTAGCACAGATCGACTTGGATGATGGTTGCGATGCGCTAATGATGTTACGGCAATTCATTAAGGCTATTTTTGTCAAGACACAAATATTTAGTCATATTAAAGAAATTTAAAACAATAAGTCCCGTTTTTACAATTACCTCATCTTTTACTCTTATTTTTTGAATTCACTCTTTTTAATAGAGTCGTGTTGTTGATATTGAATCGACATAGTGTATAAATAAAGTGAGTATGAATTATCATCATTCAAATATTATCAAATATGCTATAAGACAATTTTAGTGATCACTGAGATGAGAAATTTCAAACTGGACCAACACAAAGAGACCGAGAGAATATAAATATATGTTTGTTAAATTATGTTATCAGGAAGAATTTTTATGAGAGGAGTTTTAAGTATGTTATTAGGAAGGTAAGAATAATTCAAGTCAAGAACAAATCCATTGCAAGTCCTTAGACTTATATTGTTTCAGCTAAAAAATCGATCGGAAAGACAGTAAAATAGATTTGTGAAAATAACTGTGTTTTTATATGTATAATTTGGCGCAATTATACTCGAAAAATTACTACGCATTTGACTGTTTTATGGATCGAATTTTTAGCTGATTTTTTTGGGTAAACTAATGAAAGAGAAACATACTAAAATTAGACTCGGAAACACCTAAACGGCGTCACGGAGGATTTGATAATACGAGTATATAGCTTGAGTCTCCCATGTTTTATTCGATTGATCAAAGATGTCCTCAATAAGTGCGAGCCTACGTAACTACGTTCATAGCGGTTGGTATATAGGGCAGGAGCTTCTGCGATGACGGCCGGGCGACTTTATTTTTACTCCGTATTAAACTACAGTATAATAGTTCATCAATTAATTTTATACGTAGTAATCAGTTAATAACTACTCACTGCTTATACGTAACTAGTTATAGTTGTGTACTTGTGTACTTCCTTTTGGATCCGAAATTAATGTTTCTAATTATTTTAACACCAAAATAAGTGAACTTGTTACGATTTATACAAACTACTATACTCCGTAATACTTACTCCGTATTAATAATTGTTTCATTTCACCCTAAAAATGGGATTTTCAAGAAAATAACTTAATTATTATTGATAAAGATAATAACAAACATAACAATGAGAACCCGAAACAAAAAAAGGCGATTGAAGAAAGGATCCATAGCCAACCAGGTATCACTTGGAATCAATTTGAGAATCAAGGTATAAATCTCGAGATTTAAAGGGAGACAGTACGTTTACAAGAGGCAATTATTTGAAATCTTTTAGAATAAAATATTAAAGCCTATTTGATAGCCTCAAATTTCAGTTACTCAACTTTAGTAGTCAACTTTTTAACCAATGATGCGATTTCATGTCCAGAACTATGTGTAGTAATTAAAATAAATGAGGTTTGAATTACTTTTCTGTCTTAATTCGCTCAAATGATGTGATATGTCATTTTAATTTTTTTATACTCCCTCCGTTCTCCATTAGTTGGGACACTTTCCATTTTTGGCTGTTCTTGAATAATTGTCCCCCTTTCTTTTTTTAGTAAGTTTTTGTTGTGCAAATACATTTTTACCCCCACATATTTTACCCTCATTTACTTACCTTTAATCTAAACCCACTTAATTCTCCACCTACTCCATTAATTACTCTTTACTTTCCACCTATACCCATTTACTTCTCCGTCATATAACCTCCCCCCTACCCATTTAGTTCTCCACCGCTAAACCTCATCTACCACGGTTCGTCTTCCTCATCTTCAACCTTCTTCCATTAATCTGTAATTTCTCGTTCCAGATGGAGTATCAGAAATGCGATTTTGGAGAACACTATTTGTGTGTTCCTGATACGCCGGAGCAGGTTAATCCTTACGCGGATGTGCCGGATACGCCAGACCAAGTCACTGATCTTTATGCGGATGTGCCGGATACGCCAGACCAAGTGACTGATCCAGGCTTGCATGTGCCTGATACGCTTGACCATGACTTCGGAGACCTTCATTACCAGAGATTGGAAGAATTCCGCCTTGAAGCCTCCCGTAGAGGTTCAGAGGCGATGTTGAAACTAATACTTCCCCAAGTGAAGGTCTGATCTTCATTTCAGAAGGCGTTGGTGAAGACTAACGGAGACGTGGAGGGTGTTTAAGTGACGAGAATAAACATGCAGTGGCCGATAAGTCATCTATTCTCTGTATTTCTTTACTTTTGCGTGGTAGTAAGGTTTTCTGATTTCCTGAGAATTAACAATCTGTAATGTATTTTCTGTTGTGTTGGTCTACGAATTGTTATGGTTTTCGACAATGCTCTGTGAAATAAATGATGATTTCTTTAAAAATTATTATTCTGTGTGATTAAACATACCTCTGTGATCTGAGATTGCGTTCATATGGCTGTGATGACACCTTTGAGATCTGATTTTTTCTTACCATATCTGTGATGACACATTTTTGGTATCTGAGCTTGTGTGAGCACGTCTTTGATGCACTTCTTTCTTATGCCAGTGATGACACTATTTGATCTGAATTTATGTTGATATGGCTGTGATGACTCTACTTTGATCTGAGATTTGGCTAGCACAACTGTGATGACACATATGTGACATCTCAGATTTTGTGAGCATTTCTGTGATGACACTAAAAGTTTGTGATCTGAGCTATTGTGTAATTGTGTGTGATGAGACTTGCTTGTTACCTGACCTTGTGGTGATATGGCTGTGATGACACAACGTAGGTCAGAGATTTGGGTAGCAGATCTGTCATGACACTTATGTGTCATCTCAGATTGTGTGAGCATTTCTGTGATGATACTTGTTTGTGATCTGAGCTGTTGTGATTTGTGTGTGATCACATTGTGTGAGCTGAGTTTTGGTGATGTTGTATGTGAACTGATTGTGTGAGCATTTGGCTCTGATGGCACTGGTAATTGACCTGAGCTTGTGTGACAGTTGGCTGTGATGATACAACTTAGGTCTGAGATTTGGGTAGCACATCTGTGATGACACATATGTGTCATCTCAGATTGTGTGAGCATTTCTGTGATGACACTTGTTTGTGATCTGAGCTGTTGTGATCTTGTGTGTGATCACATTGTGTGACCATTTCTAGGATGACACATCTAATGATCTATTGTTTGGTCAAGTCATTAGCTTATGATAATACAAGAAGGAAGTCAAATGATGAAAAAACTTATGCATTTCATTAGCTTAATTTGACAAAAGGCAAAGTTCACAATGCATGGTACATTAACTGATTTGGGCAAAAGTCAAAACTCAAAATTTTGTAGTTCCTCAACTACATCAGTTAAATAACCTTGCACAACATAATACCCATTACATGCCTATACATTCATACGCATACTTCATACTGCAACTTTAAAACCTGGTTACCTGGTGTTCAGGCAGTGTCATCCTGCAACACATCATTTAAATAAGCAACAGTTTCTGCAATCAATTCATTATCAACTACCAGAGCACTTGGTAGAAGCCCCTTTTTTTCCAACCTTGCTTTTCCCATGTGAGGACTTTTGAATTTGTTGCCTCCTTTGCATTTCAAAATCTCAACCATTACAGCTTGTAACTGAACCCAATTGTGATTTATCTTGTGTGGTGCAAACTCTTCATATGCATCTTTGACTGCCACCACCAATTCTTGAACTGTAGTTGGACATTTCTGGTATTGAATTGCTTGCACAGCCCTAAAGAAACCCAAATCTAAGATATTTAGATCAGGGGAATTCGATGGCTGACAAACCAATTGTATATCCCACCCATCTGTTGTACCTGCATCTTTAAATGCTGCATCATTCAACTTAATGTGAGGTCTTGCATTGTCTTGTTGTATCCATATAGTTTTACATGCATTGGCTGGCCATTTTTGTTTGATTGATGGAATCAATTCAGTTAGAAATGCATTTCTGATGACTTCCTGCGTGATAGATGCAGTTGCCTTTAGTTCCAAACAACCTGCAGTTCTGTTTTTGCTGTTTCTAATTGCAGCCACATTTTCTGTGAAAGGGAAAATTCCTATTTTCCCATCCCAATGTATTGATCCATCTGGATTGATCCATGGTCTAGCAATGCCTGCCAAAAACATAACCTTTTCGATAAACCTTTTACTTTGACAGCTTCTGTGAGGATCTTCCTCTGAGGGCAACAGATAATAGCGTTGGGTAATTTGGCTCATATAGAACCATTTTTCATCCACGTGTATGACATTGAACATGTTTGAAAACTGTGGGGGTTCATCCACTGTTCTAGGAATAATGTGACACATAGACCACTTCAATCTTTCCACTTTGTTTTTGTCTGATAACGCAGGTTTGATTGCATTGGTGTGTGCCCTTATGGTACCATCACTCAGTGAATTATGCACTTTTGAAACACTTAAGTTAAGAGAAGCTGCCAAGCTTCTCAAAGTGGTTCTTTTTCTCAATGGAATGGCACGTATAGCTTCTATATCAATTGGTACACTTTTCTTCCCACACTTTCCAGTCCTCTTGTGGTCAGTATTAAGTGGCATACCTTGTTGAGCTTGCAGTTTAGTTGTTGCCCAGATTCTGCCTATAGTCTTGGAAGAAACATTGTGTCTGTTGGCTACCTCCTTAAGTACTCCTCTTTTACAACTTAAAATCTTTGTCAATGAACATGCACTTGATTTAGCTAACAGTTCTTCTGCTATTAACTTTCTTTGTGAATTTGTGAGTAAGACATACTTCTTCGCAGGTACAGAACCATTTGAGTTGGGTGTAGAGTCAGCATCTTCTGATTCCATTTCACCAGCACCTTGTTCAGAGATATTATGCTCAATCAACACCATTTCTTCTGGAGCAATGAAATAAGAAGAGTCTTGAAAAGGTGGCGTGGTCATCTCTTCAACAACACGTGCTGGAGAAGGCTGAAAAATGAAGCTGCAGAAGGCTGAAAAATAAAGGTGGAGAAGAAGGCTGCCAAAAGAAACCCTAATAGGGAAATTGGAAAAGTAACGTGCAGGGAGAAGAATGCTGAAAAGAGATTTCCATATATAGCAATGTTTTTTTTGGAGGGAAATGTAAAAATTTTGTAAACTGGGCGGCAACTTAAAGTTGTTGTACGTAGTACTGCCGCAACCATGTACTCCGTAATAGGAGTATGAAGTAGCATATCAATTCTTCTCTTTCCTCTGATACTCTTTCTCTTGTCTCTTTCCTCTATTATTCATTTCTCTTTCCTTCCCTCATCCACAAACTTAATTACCTTTAATAATCTATTCTCTTTCCTACTTTTTCATTTTAACACAACCCACTACACTTTTAAATTTACCCCTACTATTTCCTTCTTAATATTTGTGCCAAAGCCTATAGTCCCAACTAATGGAGAACGGAGGGAGTATAATTTTTTCTTTATTTTATTAATAAAATATATTTAAAAAATTATTTTTTCATAATTTAACAAATTCAATCCATTCAACTACCTACACCATATTTTCATTAATTTAATTTCAACGAATTTACCCAACTACTCCGAATTGTCCCGTACCTTTCAAATTGTATTAACGTATACGGACTATTTTATCTAGTTCTATACCATGAGCTTGGGAGGTGACACGTAGAAAGTATCTTTATTTTTTTCCATGCACCTAGTACGAAAATTTTATAGGAAATATAGACACGGAAAACTTGTTTCATAAAATGCGAACACAATATTGTTTCTTTTAATGAAACAGGCCGGAAAGAGGGTGTGTACTTGTTAATTCTGATTTACAATAAGTTGTTATTATTATTGGTAGGCTAGGGGGAATGGACCATTTTACAATAGCCAAGTTGACAAGGAAGTTACGTAATCAGACTCGAATGTCAATTGAAACGTGCCCCACTACATATATAAGTGGAGTTACTTCATCAACTACTCAAATTATTAAAATCTAGCCACCCATGACATCAATGGAGTTATATCATCTAACTACTACTCATATACCTATATTCCTTTCCTACCCTTATAACTTTGTAATTTTTTTTTGGATATCCCAAAATCGTTTTCATTTTCCTTTTAATTTAAGGGAAAATAGAAACTAATAATCCAACATTTTAACACTCTTCATACAATAGTTAATTTAATCCTAATTCAGGAATAATCAAACATTTGTATCCCATCTTCATTAGTTGGTCTCTGATCGGTTGATGATCTGTCATTTCTAGGCTTTTTCATTTTGTTTGCAAATCAATAAATCATAAATCTCACCTTCTACAAATCTCCTCAAAACGATCCCACATATAATTTTTATATTTTCTTAGCTTCCTAAAAATTTTCTTTCTTTTTTATGTATTCCTATTCGTTGTAGTCTCTTTTTATAATTTTTTCCAGTGATGCTTGTTAATATTTTTTCCTTGGATTTTTTGGAAAATAGAAAAATATACGGGAAATTCCCCAAATAGTTCTTAATAAAACTTTAATTGCAAGAATATGAGTATAATTTCAAAATTCTCTAAATAGGACTAGCTTTCTAATTCTACCATTTCTTTGTTTTAGTGCAATTCATATTTCATTAATAATTAAAACATAAAAGTAACAACATAACTTTATTTATAATAAAAATGTAGAAAAATAAAAAACACGAAAAGAAATATTAAATAAAATTAATAAAACTAAAACACTAGAAAAATAAAAAATTACTTTGTATAAAATTAAAAACTCGAAAACTAAAGAAAAAGTAAAAAAGAAAAAATGGATGTCTCTGCTGCCGCTTCAACAACCTCCCAACACCACCAGCTCTGACCACCGGAAAAAATGCCAACATGTGTCAGTGATACTATCTCGATGTGTGTCGGTGATACTATCTCAATGACAGTTTTTAGAAAATTTTGGAATTTTCAGAGAGAAAAAATTGCAGTGTTTACACAAATGACACTTTTTCTCCGATCGGAGGTGGCCGAGGCTGCGGGAAAGGCCTCCAATTTTTTTTATAAAGGGAGATAGCATTTTTATTGTTAGTATTACAATCCTTGTCACGTACGAGGAATGTGATCAAAACGAAAAAGGCTAATCGGTACATTTTTCGTGCGTGTAAGGATGGTAATGTTGACAATATAATTATATAATAGAGAAAGTTGTACACTTGTACTACGTATAAGTGTTTCAGGAGTTTAAACACTTTTGAATGATATGGTATTTATTAAGGGGCTGTTTACTTTTTTTCATTAAGTCCTGACTGGAATAAGACGTCTGTCTGGATTAAGATGTCTGTCTGAATTTAGTGACACTGAGATAAGAAGATGTTTACTATGTGGGCTGAATGAGATGTCTGAATTATGTTAAATGACCAAATAATCCTCCTTTCTAAAACATGTGTTGAACATGGCCAAATTTATTAAGACGTACATTTTCCTTTCTCTAACAATCTAGAGGCATCACAGTATCAGTTCTTTCTCTACACAT